AGTATGGGCGCAGTGCTAGGAGGGGTTATTATGGCGACGGCTTTGGGAGGCTTTAACCCAGCAGTGGATTAACCATGGACGATGATGCCTTTATGATCCATTTAAAATATTCAATAATTTTGCTATACTGTTGTCACAAAAGACAAAATACAGAGGAGTCCCTGTGTTGTCGGGCGGTGTACAGCATTATAGTAAGCTTGTTATCGCACCAATCCGTTGAAAACACCAGCAATTGTTGGCTGATAATTTTAGGCCATTCCAAACGTTCAAGGGCTTAACTTGAAAAACAGGAACAAGCCCAAAAACCAGACGGATCATGTGGGAGGATTTCATGGAACCTAGTGAAGGCCATCTGTGTGTATCAACTTGTTTTTTTTATTTTGAGCCCGCCAAAAATACATTTTGTAATTGTAACCTCACACATTGTATGTTTATATACTGTGTACATCGACATTCTAAATATATGGTACTGCAATGATGACTGGCACATAAAACAAATCCCATGGGTAAGAACCGTCATCATACTTGGAATACACATAACCTATAATTTTTTAAGTGTGTCACATGTCAGGTGAGGTTAGTAGACACTTCTTTTTTTATATAATAATAAAAAAGTAATTCAGACAGCGATCTCGCTTGGTTGGCCATGCTTTCCGAATGTGAAGAAGGACTAAATATACTAAAACCAGATCAGGATCAAGACACATAACCGAGGTGCACAATCCCAATGATACAGGTGCATACACCAAGATATTATTAGACCTGAAGGGAACATGTTTACAACACATTACTGCATTGGTTATAACCGCATGTTACCCCCAGAATTTAATTCATGATTTCTTTAAAACATGTTACTATTTAAACTGTTCTTTACATAACTCTTTTACAGAAGCGACCTGGCCACAAACGATAACCCAACAAATTGGATAATCATGTGGAATTTGATAGCAGCCAAATACTCTACACGCATTTTTTTAAATGTGGAGGCAAAACCGGAGGACCTGGAGAAAAATCCACATGATCACGGGGAGAACATGCAAACTCCAAAGGGGCCGTCCATAAATGACGTCACGCACCTGGGGGGGGGGGGGTCAGACATTTGTGACGATGTGTGAAGATGCTCAACTTTAAGTAAATATAGACAACACGTTCTACTTAAGTCAATAGACTTTTTAATAATTGTTTTCTCCTACAACATCAGAGTACAGCGGCACATTAAATACGCACTACAATGAAAATAGTTTTTTAATTCGATTTGAAGCATGTTTTTTTGGGGGGTTTGGGGGGCAGAGCTTTGTGACGTCATGCAACGAAGGGGGGGGGGGGTCAAAAAATCGTCCAAAATCGCGTGACGTCATTTATGGGCGGCCCCATATATACAGGCGTCAGGGTTGGGATCGAACCCATAACCTCCTGCATACGAGACGAGGGAGTGCATACCAAGCGAGAGATACATTAATAATTAGCAATACAATCAAAACATGCTGTGATACTGTGTTGATAGCGGTGCACAAACACAAATAAAAACCCAACACGTTAATCAATAACACTGTCATACATAGGATATATTTGACCCCCTCCCCCCCACAGGACATCTGTGAAAAAGAGCTTCATAGCTCATCGGATTTCTCCAGGATCAATACAAATTCTGATATATGTGTGTGTAACAGTGCCGACTGTTGTCAAGCAACGGCAACTGTGGTGGACGAACAGTACACACGCCGGTGATCATATACACGGCTGTGTGTGTCGGCAGGGCGGAGGAACTGGGGCAAGGGTCATGGAAGACCCCACCTGGAAGGCCCCTGGAACCCGCTCGTGGGTTCGAGAAGGGAGGCGCAGCCAGGCCGCGCTGGGTAGCATAAAACCAGCTGAGAGCGGGAGCTCGTGGCTGCCGGTTCTGGGAGTGGACTCGTCTCGTCTGCCATCTTGGCTAGATATTGCGCGGCCGGATAAATGTTGGCTGTCTCGGTCGGTGCCATCAGTGTTACGGGGTTGTGTTAAGGTGAGGCGAGACGACGATGGAGAGTGCCCGGGCGAACCTGTGAACCTGTGAAGGCGTTAAACACATTCCTGCGGAGGGAGCTGGTAGGAACGTTGGGTTGCTCGGTCAGTGGCCAGGGTCAACAGCGGCACCACCACGTGGTGTGTTCAGCACAATATGCCCGACTGTGAGGGCGGGCACAAGCCGGCGTGAGTAGGTTAAACGTTGAGTTTTATAAGGGCACCACGGGGTGACCAGCCCCTCCCCACCCAGCCCCACCCCTCCCACCCCCCACCCAGCCCCACCCTCCCCACCCAGCCCCTCCCCACCCTCCCCACCCAGCCCCACCCCACCCTCCCCTCTCCACCCAGCCCCACCCCTCCCATTTTTGGATGCACGAAGGACGGACGGACACAATAATTCCCTGCGAGCTGGTGTAACCAGGAGGTTCCTACCAGTATAAAGAAGGTGCTCTCGATAAACCTCTACATATATAGATATATATGCAGAAATGGGCAACGTTTTGGGTAATGACCCTTCTTTGTGATGTATGAGTATGATCAGTGATGATGTGGATGTGGCTAGATGGTCCAAGGGGTCCAAACATTGAGCCAGCAAGGTTCATAGATATTTATATTTGATAACGTATTATATGATTATTGACTATGTACATGAGTACTTAATGATGATCAAAGGTAAAGATGCAAGGCTGCTCACGCCACAGTTGGCTTAAGGGCTCCACTAGAACCAACTACAGGTATTCCTCGACTTACGATGGAGATACGTTACGACGACCCCATCTTAAGTCAAAAATATCGTAAGTCGAAGATGGCCTAGCCTGCCCAGGAGTCTTAAAGAATGGTGATAATTTAGCAAAACAGAGCAATTTACAGTCCCGTACTGTATAAACTATATACTGTATGTATTTATTAATTACAATACTGTATTGCACAGTAAAATGTAAAGTAAAAAAAACAAGGTAAATTTTTAGCCTACCTATATGAACTGAAATTTCATAGAAAGTTTTTTCAGGAAACAATCCTATCTGTTAAAAAAATATAACGTACAGTATCGTACCTCATACGCTGCTACGTTTGCCTGCCGCGCGAAATTATTTTTTTTTTACAATTTTGTCATATCGCTATCGCCATCGTAAGATCGAAATATCGTAAGTCGGGGACCATCGTAAGTCGGGGACTATCTGCATATTAGGGTATTTGGCGGTCTACTCTTCAGCGTTGAGCAGCAGAGGTTGGTGTACTCACAGTTTATCCCACCTGCCGATCGACTGTGTTGTTGTACTTGTGGGCTGGTTTGTTGAAACAAAAACCCTCCCCATTGTTTCAACTGCGCCGCTGGGCGGTGGAATCGAATCGGCGAACTCTCGATTGCCAGTCCAGTCTTGTGCTGAACATTGCACCATGGTAACTGATGATGCAGATCATTACTAATAATTGTGTATGTATGCATGATGTGCATGCTCATCACTCATGGTGATTATCAAAAACATTTATGCTGATGTACATAATACAATACATGATTATTATTCTTACATTTGTTTACCCGAGGAAAGCCTCAGTCTCAACTCTCTTTCAGTAAGGTCCTGTCAATTCTAGATTTAAAGCTTTCGTGACTGCAAGGATCCATACTCTTTGGTTCTATTCGGTAAAGTCACGTAAAAACAACAAAAAATAAAAAAATTACGACGTTTCGGCCACAACACAAGTGACCTTCATCAGGTGAAGGGACCAGACTGTCTAGAGGACAGCGTTGGAGTGAACACAGCTAAGCTCAGACCGTGACCTTTAAGCTCCTCTCACACAGCTTAAAGGTCGCGGTCTGAGCTTGGCTGTGTTCACTCCAACGCTGTCCTCTAGACAGTCTGGTCCCTTCACCTGATGAAGGCCACTTGTGTTGTGGCCGAAACGTCGTGAATTTTTTTATTTTTTGTTGTGTTTTTTACGTGACTTTACCGAATAGAACCAAAGAGTAAGGTCCTGTCAAGTTTTGACGGTAGGGGCGATGTTGCTATACGTGATCTCAACTGAGTAATACTCTGTTTTTTTCGGTAAAGTCACATAGGTAAAATAAAATAAATGAAAACAACTAAATTGGAATAGTCACAGCAAAATAGCTGTTTGCTGTGACTATTGGAACAGTCACAGCAAAAATTTTCATTTATTTTATTTTACCTAGACTTTACCGAAAAAACCAAAGAGTATGAATCCTTGCAGTCACGAAAGCTTCAAATCTAGAATCAACTGAGCAAGTTTCTGGTAATTTTTCACCATTGGGATGGGTTTGGCCAATTGCAAGGACACTGTTTTGTTTGTTTTAGCTATGGGAGGGAAACCGGAGAACCCAAATAACATTCATGCAGAACAGGTGGAGAACATTAAGCTAAAACTTCTCACGGAGTCGGGAATCGAATCCAGGAACTTTTGACTGGGCGGCACAAGTGTTACTACTGCGCGCCACCGTCATTATCACTCACGCCAAGCCAAACAGATGACCCCCACCTCCCCTGCCACGCCGCACGCACGCACGCATTCATTCTCGCCCGTGCAGCATGGCAATCTGAATCTCATTAGCAGCTCCCCCAGCACGTGGCGCCGACATCTCCGCCCACACTCGCCCAGGGCTGGGCCGTCTGTTCATGGGGAGAAGGGGGAGGCGAGGGCGGGGTGGGAGGGGAGGGGCATAGGGTGGAAGGGGAGGGGCGTGGGAGGGGCATGGGGTGAGAGGAGAGGGGTATGGGGTGGGAGGGGAGGGGCATGGGGTGAGAGAGGAGGGGTATGGGGTGGGAGGGGTTATGCCGTTATGGAGTGGGAGGGGAGGGGCATGGGGTGGAAGGGGAGGGGCGTGGGGTGGGAGGGGAGGGGCATGGGGTGGGAGGGGAGGGGCATGGGGTGGGAGGGGAGGGGCATGGGAGGGGAGGGGCATGGGGTGGGAGGGGCATGGGGTGGGAGGGGAGGGGCATGGGGTGGGAGGGGAGGGGCATGGGGTGGGAGGGGAGGGGCATGGTGACATATCGCATGCGGCCCACACCTCTTGCTACGCACGACCGTACCAGACGGGAGCAGTGTGCTGGCTATTATAGCACAGCCGAAGCACTGTAGTACTGTAGGCAACCAGAACAACAGCGGCTACGAGGAAGGCGCCAGCACAATCTCTTTGGTTGACAGCAGCAGCAGCAGCAAACACAGACTCGTAACGTAATCGCCGTGTGCCCTGTGCTGGCTACACCAGTGACGTGCTGTTGTGCGTGGTGGTAGTTAGCAGTGGTGGTAGTTAGCAGTGGTGGTAGTTAGCAGTGGTGGTAGTTAGCAGTGGTGGTAGTTATCAGTGGTGGTAGTCGTGTTGTTGTTGTCGCCGCGTGAATCCGGCGTCGAGCGTGGCCTCGCGGCGAGCAATGTCGAGAAGGCGGCTTGGCCATTAAACGCCAGGCAGAGCGCCGTGTCTACGAGCCCCCCCCCACCACCCACACCTTGTCGTCTCGTCCGCCTGACACGAAGAAGGCTCAACGAGGAGGACGACGAGGAGGAGGAGGAGGAGTCGTGTAGACAGGCCCCGAACTACGACGCTGGTGGTGGCGTCTCGGTCTCTCGTCTCAACGGGAGAGAGACGGGTCAAGTGGTGGTGGTGGTGGGCGGTAGACCAAACAAGGTACGTGTTGTTGTGTGTGATGTATAGTTGTTGCTGCTGCTGTTGTTGTTAGAAGGCAAAGACGGGCAACATCCACGTTGCAGGGGGGGGGGGGGGGTTGGGGGGCGGGTTAGATAGCGTAAATACATATAAATGTGTCGTCAAAACCCGCCACCACCCGACACAGCCAACTAGTAAGGAAACAGAACGTGGCCGATTCGTCACTAGTACAGCACTAGAGTGTAGTGTATAGTAGTGTGTAGTGTAGTATACTAGTACAGCACTAGTGTATAGTGTAGTGTATAGTAGTGTAGTATACTAGTACAGCACTAGTGTATAATGTAGTGTATAGTAGTGTGTAGTGTAGTATACTAGTACAGCACTAATGTGTAGTGTATAATGTAGTGTATAGTGTAGTGTAGTATACTAGTACAGCACTAGTGTGTAGTGTATAGTGTAGTATACTAGTACAGCACTAGTGTGTAGTGTATAGTGTAGTATACTAGTACAGCACTAGTGTGTAGTGTATAGTGTAGTGTATAGTAGTGTAGTATACTAGTACAGTACTAGTGTATAGTGTAGTGTATAGTAGTGTGTAGTGTAGTATACTAGTACAGCACTAGTGTGTAGTGTATAGTGTAGTGTATAGTAGTGTGTAGTGTAGTATACTAGTACAGTACTAGTGTGTAGTGTATAGTGTAGTGCATAGTAGTGTGTAGTGTATTATACTAGTACAGTACTAGTGTATAGTGTAGTGTATAGTAGTGTGTAGTGTAGTATACTAGTACAGCACTAGTGTATAGTGTAGTGTATAGTAGTGTAGTATACTAGTACAGCACTAGTGTATAGTGTAGTGTATAGTAGTGTAGTATACTAGTACAGCACTAGTGTGTAGTGTATAGTGTAGTGTATAGTAGTGTAGTATACTAGTACAGCACTAGTGTGTAGTGTAGTGTATAGTAGTGTGTAGTGTAGTATACTAGTACAGCACTAGTGTATAGTGTAGTGTATAGTAGTGTGTAGTGTAGTATACTAGTACAGCACTAATGTATAGTGTAGTGTATAGTAGTGTAGTATACTAGTGCAGCACTAGTGTGTAGTGTAGTGTATAGTAGTGTGTAGTGTAGTATACTAGTACAGCACTAGTGTGTAGTGTATAGTGTAGTGTATAGTAGTGTAGTATACTAGTACAGCACTAGTGTGTAGTGTATAGTGTAGTGTATAGTAGTGTGTAGTGTAGTATACTAGTACAGCACTAGTGTGTAGTGTATAGTGTAGTGTAGTATACTAGTACAGCACTAACCGGTTGTGTGTTGGGAGAGCCAAGCCACAGCATTTACAATCTGAGTACCGGGAATCATCTCGCCAATTTGCCTGCCGTGTTGTTTCCAGATAAAGAATGAGGAACAGACCACCCTCGACTGGTGGACGAGGTTTAAATGTCTCGATGGTTATCTTGGTGTGCTCACAAACTCATCATCATTTTGTATGCGTCAGCCGCGGATGATATGCTGTCGCAGTGTATTCAATACACATCACGTACGCGTTGGCTCAAATAAAAAAAAGCGAGGTTTGTAAGATTATTAAGTCACACCGGTGTACTGATTATCTGAACAACAGAAATGTCTCGACGATTATTCGCAAGGGTGATTTAACGTTATGTTACGCTTCATAAACGACAACATCTATCTGCACCATGTCTCTCCAACAAGCAACCTGAAGGGAAATGCTGCATGACGAGACGTGGGAATAGTGTACACCAGTAAACCTTAACCTGATCCGCATACCGTTTGGCTACTTGTATTGCCACAGAAGACGCCTCGTACAGCTGCGCGTTGACGCATCGTGCAGCTATTTATATATGCTATATTTTTCTACGTTGCGTGTTGCTTTCACCCAGTGTCAAAAAAGGGGGCCTTGGCACTCACGATCGTGGGAATGTTGCCAAGCAATAGCCCGGGTTTAAAAAGTAGAGTTTCGGGTTTGAGTGCCAGTGTTGTGTGGTGGGCACGCCGATTTTGCTCGAGGTGGGGGGGAAAAAAAAGTGCTTTAGGCAATTTTGGTACATCAAGGTTCATACGTTGTACCCTCAAAGCTTGCCTTATAATTTACAATGCTATCACTGCAAGATCACGTTTCACGTCCTTAATGTGTGTGGCCACAAAGCTGGGTTTCTCCTTATTTTCACCCGTGTGGTGTGCTGTGTTGGAAGGACCTCTTCTTACAAGAGTAGTTGTTTTTAATCATTAATCTTGCAACGTGTGTGTTTAAAAAAAAAAGAATCTCTAAAATAAGTTCCTGAAAATAAGCCACAGTGGGTTTGTGACCGTGCAGCCAAAATTACCAATTTACGGGACCATACAGTAAACAGCAAAACTACTCACGAATTCCATCCTGAAGCACCTATCATCGTGGCCTATCAGACCTCGCGACTTTGTCATCTAGGTCCTGGACTTATTGCCATATGCACACAGAGAATCGCTCACAAATCCTACCCCCCCCCCTCCTTCACTTTATCTTTGGTGGTGGTAGTGGTGTAAATGTAAGGATAAGTCAAAGTTCATGAGCCCCACTGTATTAAAGGTCTGGGCTTTTGTTGACAGTTTTGGATACACCGTTCACGACGCTTTGGGGACACACGTGTTATGAATGTATTACACTATGTAACATAATTTTTGTTTCTGGTTACTAAAGTGTTATTTTGTAATTGCTTCTGCCTAAAAAGTATAGAAAATGGCTATTATTCCCCACAAACTTTGCTTTTGTGACCAGGACGGTGATATTTTGAAATGTACCTATTTTCAATGAGAAAACGGGCAAATTTGTATTTATACTAAAGTAATACATAAATTACTACAAAAGATTTAGAAGTGAGTAGTTTTTCGAGATTTTCGGTTATACTGTAAACCACTTTCACGAATCAGCCCCCCAATGTAGTCTCCCATCATGTTCTCGTTATACTGTCCTTGGTAGCGGCGTTCAAAGTCCAGTATATCCTGGTGGAAGCGCTCGCCTTGCTCCTCCGAGTACGTTCCCATGTTCTCCTTGGATTTATCAAGATGAGCATCAAGGATATGGACTTTGAGGGACATCCTACAGCCCATTGTGCCATAGTTCTTCACCAGAGTCTCAACCAGCCCCACGTAGTTTTCGACCTTGTGATTGCCCAGGAAGCCACGAACCACTGCGACAAAGCTGTTCCAAGCCGCTTTCTCCTTACTAGTGAGCTTCTTGGGGAATTCATTGCACTCCAGTATATTGTTTATCTGTGGTCCGACGAAGACACCGGCTTTGATCTTTGCCTCAGACAGCTTAGGGAAGAAGTCTTGAAGGTACTTGAAGGCTGTCGACTCCTTATCTACAGCTCTGACAAATTGTTTCATAAGGCCCAATTTGCTGTGCAGGGGTGGCATCAGCACCTTCCGTGGGGCCCACCAGTGGCTCCCACTTAACGTTGTTCCTCCCCATAGAGAACTCGGTCCGCTGTGGCCAGTCCCGCCTGTGGTAGTGCGCCTTGGTGTCTAAATATTTTGTAGTGATTTTTGTATTACTTTCGTATAAATACATGTTAATTTTGATTCATATGGTTTTTTCTGACTTTATGTTAATGAAAAGACACAAATTCGCCCGTTTTCTCATTGAAAATAGGTAAATTCTAAACAACACTGTCCTGGTCACAAAAGCTAAATTTATGGGGAATAGTAGCCATTTTCTGTACTTTTGAGGCATAAGCATTTACGAAATAACACTTACTACCCAGGAACAAAAAAAATGTGTTACACAGTGTTATTAGTGTCAGTGCTGGGAGGCGAATGCAGAACTAGCAGCAGTGTGGGATGTTTCCCCGGCAGAGTATTCAAACACCGAATGTTTATTTTGATGGATGTTACGCATGTTTTTGGTCGTCAAAGACCACATGCTTGCACTTGGCATTAGCATCACTTTCATATAACAGTAGTACTGTATGCGGTGCAATACTCAAGTTGCATACACGATACCGTTTGCTCTAATTGTGGATAATGTTCTGTATTTACAGCTATTTGTTAATTCTCACCACTGTATGAGGGCCAAGTTTGACCATTCCTTACGACTCTGTTCTTCGCGGGTTTGTGAGGTGGGTGGCCTAGAACCATTTTTAGATACCACTCGCCACTGACGTTAGCCGTGGCCTGGAATTAACATTGGATTGGCTGGTTAATGTATTATATACCCATCTACACTGACCAGCATGGTGAAGTATGGTCTTATAACCCCTCACGACCCGCAGCAGCATGGGGAAGACCCTCATTCAGCGGTGGATTGATGAAAAGTTCTGTTTGTGTACAGTATTCTGCATAGTTGTTACGGTGTTTTCTGGGACTTCATTATGTCTATTATTTGTGTGTGCGAATGAGGAACAACGCTTATTTACCAAAGTTGGTTCGAGGCAAATTTAAATATATCATTTTGTGCTAGAATTATGCGGCTGACACGCAGACATATCTTCTTGCACCCAAGCTTTTACATGAAGGTGAAGTAAGCATAAGTTAGTGATTCCGTATTCGCTCCTAAGGGTACTTGTGCAGACCCATATAACGTGGGAAGAAGCTGACCCTTACTAGTCATTAATCAGCCCTGGTAAAATAGCAATATTCCCCGTGGTGAGTTTCTGTTCACTTTTTAAGGCCACGACTACTAGAGACTAAACCGAGTAACCTCTCGTCTCCCAAGTAGGGATTGGCAATTTATTGTTGTGGCCATTTGGAAAGATTTGGCTTCTGGCTTGCACAACTGCCTTGTTATCAAAAGTGGTTAATATCCAGAGAGAAGTGCTCTGGAAAATTGAAAGCCTACAGTGCAGTTGCGTGATATATTTGTTCGTTTTGCTGAGCACAAGTACAGGTCTTTCACAATCGTACAGTGGCGGAGTGCGCTGTTTGTTATTTGTTCACCATAAAGCATTGTAGAAGTTCTCGGAATGCAGTTGTGCTGCTTACTGTCCACACTCAAATATGAGTAGACAGTAAGTTAATGCACAACTCTTTATTGTGGCTGCCCTGTCAAACTTTAATCTAGGTTACTAAACTACACTTGACTCACCTTTGGCCAGTCACACAACACATACCTGCTGTAGACGTAATGCCTAAATTACAAAATTGCAATAAGTTTATCATTAGTACCGGAGTTTGTTTTGCTTCATCTCTAATTGTTGCAGCATTCCCCAATTGGAGGGTATTTTCCATCCGCTGGAGCCCACAAATGGTAATTTTATGGTTCATTGCTTATGAGGTTGAAACCAGCTTATTATGTGCAATTTGTGTTTGTTTACATGCAAGGTTCAAAACAAACACATGTAAAAGCATAATATAATTTATCCTTATCAGTGGACGGCGTTTTTTTATTTATTCGGTCCTTTAACTAGGATACAAAATACAAACCTAATTAAGCACTTTGTAAATTCCAGCCTCAGTTTGTATTCCTCCCACGTCTGGTGTTCTGCATTGTCGGGTGTGTTGTTTTTTTACGGATGGATGATGACGGTATGCTGAGGATGTGCGGGGCTGATTAATACGGCGTTAGACACAGCTGAGGTAACATCGCTGATGCGTTCGCAATGTTGCCTACAACATTGTTTCGCGCCCACTGTTGCAGGTAGGGGCGTTATGGCGGAGGGTTCGTCAGGCATCCACAGACATGCCCTCCTGGTGGCATAAATGAACAGCACGTCCAATGTCCACAGCGGAGGAGAAGCCAGCCCCTTCCTCTGAGCATGGGGGAGACCAGTACAGGTTGGTCCACGCATTTGAACGTAACCCTGTGTTTTTCTTCCTGGCTCTACCCTGCATGAACATTTGGTCGAAAGGCCGCCTGCCATGTGAGTGATAGAGTAAAGTGTGGGTGCTCCCACCTTTTCCAGGACGTCTGGCCCAGTGTGGACAAGTAGGCAAAATAATATTTTAGAGAGGTCTCCTGGTGCTCCTTCGAGTGGATGCCCTTTTGGCAGTAGTGGTGTGAGCAAGCAGTTGTAAGTCTGCATCTTTAGCTTTACCCAATGTATAGGAAAAGCAGCTATTCTTCAAATAGGGGCATATACGAATGCAGTTATTGTCAATTTACAGCCCTTTGTCAATTTGCTACTGGATGTCGGCCTCCCCACATCACGTCGGTTATGAGGGTTGTTTTACCATACTTCACTACACTGGTCATTGTGGGTTGGTGAAGGATTGTTTGATATATGACTTCTAACTGATGTTAGCTATGGCCAAGTATCAGACTCATGTGGCCAGGTTCATAGTGCAGTGTGCAGACTACTATGCCACTTCTTCACAGGAGGGACATTGGTGGCTTATTCAAGCCAACTGCTTATGTATACAAAACACTCATGATGTGTGTCAAGGATTTGGTGGTAGTATAAGTAATGAACAAAAGTTTGCCTCTGTATAAAAAATAATATAGCATTTTAGTTGTTGGGTCGGATGAATCGCATATAGATCCAATGGTTTAAAGCTTTCGTGACTGCAGTAATTCATATTCTTAGTTCTTTCGGTAAAGTCACGTTGAAGGGAAACAACAAAATAATAAAATATATATAAAACAATACAAATTCTCACGACGTTTCGACCATAACACAACGGTCGAATTTAGGTGTGTCGGTTTGCATAAATTTATTTATTTTTAAACGGTGTATTTATTTATTTAAAAAAACGTTAGCGCCACGCGCAGCGATTTGGCCGTTTATTTAGACGGACTAGTCCTTCTATGTTCTGAAAAGAGGAGGGGGGAGACGAATTTTTTTTTAATGTATGCTGTCTGAAAGCCACTAAGCGTGAACAATCAATTAAGACCTGAAATGGTTTATCAAATCTTTCCAATGATTGCTAAGCTAGAATCCATCTTCTCGGTGGAAATTGTCTCTGTGCTTGTATATGTGGATAGCCTCATGAACGAATCTCTCATGGTAGCCAGATGGCATACAAAGAACCTCTGTCTTGGAAAAGTCAATGTCATGTGACATTGACTAACACGGTAGGACCAACACCTCGGCCGTGGCAGATCATTGTTATAATTCAGTAGGCTCACATGACATTGACTTTTCCAAGACAGAGGTTCTTTGTAAGCCATCTGGCTACCATGAGAGATTCGTTCATGAGGCTATCCACATATACAAGCACAGAGACAATTTCAACCGAGAAGATGGATTCTGGCTTAGCAATCATTGGAAAAATTTGATAAACCATTTCAGGTCTTAATTGATTGTTCACGCTTACAGTGGCTTTCAGACAGCATACATTAAAAAAAAAATAGTCTCCCTCCTCCTCTTTTCAGAACATAGATGGACTATTTAACATGTAGGCTTTCGCGACCAATATTATTAATATAATAAAGGCGATCTAACCCAAAAACCTTTATTATGAATAGATGGACTAGTCCGTCTAAATAAACTGCCAAATCGCTGCGCGTGGCGCTAACGTTTTTTTATAAATAAATACACCGTTAAAATAAATAAATTTATGCAAACCGACACACCTGAAGACGACCGTTTGTGTTATGGTCGAAACGTGATAATTTTTATTGTTTTATATTTTTTTTATTATTTTGTTGTTTCCCTTCAACGTGACTTTACCGAAAGAACTAAGAATATAAGATCCAATGGTCTTAAATATTCTTGTTTAAAAATATATATTTAAAACCATTAGACCTTTAGCAGTTGCCATGCTGGTCTCGTTATTCTTCAAAAGTTTTTTTTTTACTATATGCAGGTTTGGGCTACATCTGGTATTGTAGCAAGCCCTATCTGAAACTCATCTAAGTTTTGAAGAAGCTTTGATATATGGATAAAATAACCAATTTACTTAAACCTTCCTTGCATATTTTATGGAAGGAAAAAATATCTTTCTCTGAATGACATGACAGATAATTTTAATGGTGTTTAATTGCTCCATTAACATGAATAAATTTGTCCTGTGATTCATTTTGGTTCTAAAGGCTGAAGTTTTTGATAAGTGGGATAGTTTTTAGATTTTAAATGACACTTATTTTCTAAAATTGGAAATCATTACTTTTCTGCGATGGTGGCTTTTTAAACAATTTTACTCAATTATAAATGAGAAACAAAACGAAATTCAAGTCTCACATCGTTAAAGTTTTAATGACGCATCAAAAATGCTGGCCTACCGTCCACAAACCATCTGTAAAATATTGACGAACCTTCAGAACCATTAAATGTATAAATATATACCCGGTTCTGAATTGAAATGTTTCGGTCGAGTTGTGTTCAGTTTTGCATCCTAAAATACACAGGAAATATAGGTTAATCATTTAGTGCTCATGACCAACCAGCGTATTTTATTTGTTACACGGATGATCCCGTTTAGCCAGTTTCCCGGCTATTTTACATGGAGATCCGTCGTGCATGAGGATAGCTGCAATAAAACAGTAAAAAAAAAATCACGGTGAAATTTCACAGCCATTTTCTAGTTTATTTACAAACCTGAATTGTACGCTTGGATTTTTATTTTGTATTCCTGTCTTTTGCTCCATGGGTCCTGTGTGGAGTGCGGGAAGCGAAAGCCCCTTCTGTCGGATCTGTCACGAGGGCAGCGCCCAAGAGGAGCTGTTGTCCCCATGTGAGTGCACCGGCACCCTGGGCTGGGTGCACCGGAGCTGTCTGGAGCACTGGCTGGCAGCCTCCAACACCAGCTACTGCGAACTCTGCCACTTTCAGTTTCTGGTGGAGCGCAAGCCACAACCGTTAACGCAGGTACGTTTTTGTATGCAAGACCATTTGTTCTGCAAGGAAGTACTGTACCTACTTGTGCTTCCGGGCGATGGTGGCGCACGCCTGTAATGCACCACTGTGGAGGTGACTGTTGGTGGATCGCACGAATGTTGCAAAACTCCCAGCCCCTTGGGCGTTGAAGTGCCATACCTTGGCTTGTCAGGAGAGGGCAGAAGCGTACAGCAAAATGTCGACTCGGAATTGCGTTTGTATGGAATTGAGTGTTTCCCCCTCGCACATGTGGAGCTTCTTTGGGTACTTCAGTTTTTCCCACATGTAAATACTCATTAAATGGTGAATAACACTTTAATATATAGAGGACTACGGAGCTTAGGCATTGTCAGCCCGCACCTTCGATTAGCATGGTTGGCTACATACGGTGCGAAGGAAGTTCAACATAATACATACATCACGTGGCTGCCTTCATGCTTATCTGTGGTTCCTCGCTCCTGAGTCCTTGTGTCTCTGACAGCGAATACTGTGTTACAAATTGAAATTATTATTCCAGCATGTTTTTATTCTTCTATGATTAACTGAATGTACAGCATTCAGTATTGTGAAGTTTTAACGGCATAACAAAATATTGATTACATAGTGCCAATCATCCTTAACAGAACCCTTTGGAAGGTTTTAAACTTTGGCTTTTATTTATTGTTGTATATAAGGCCATGGCTTTTCAGCAAATGCAGTGCATCTGCATAGAATTGGGAGATGCACTGTATTTTTTATTGTTTTCTTTTGGGAAATGTATATACAGTATCTGGTTTTATAATTTCACTTGACAGTTGTACTATATTGTCCTGCAGTTAACGATATTTTATGATGCAAGACATATGTGTTAAAAGTCGTGTTGATGTTTAACCCGAGTTGATGGCCCCAGCTTCATTACTTAATATTGATAATCGTATATATTGATTATCATATACAATTGTAGTTTGCTCTTTGTTGAAATGTATATTTGAGGGCCACTACAACTTTGTCGATCCATTTATATTCCCTTTTAACTGGTTGCACTTGAATTTTCCTGTCTGCCAGCCAACAGAGGCCATAATTCCTGAGAGTTAACGGGGTTGGGGGGCTTCAAACACTATCACATTCCTGATAACTAACTTGGAAAGAGAATAGATTTTCGGTGCCTATCTTACAGTAGAGGTATATTGTTACTTGTGAGCTTTAGTACCATTAAATAATTAGTACATTTGTATTCCATCACAAGGTAATTTTGGTCAAAAAGAAATATTGTCTAATACTGTAGTACTGTACTCCAAGACATAATTACATCACTAAATATAATCTTCTCTGCGAAACGGTGTAGGAAAGTGCACCCCCCCCCCCCCCCCCCCCCAGAGTAAGAAATGTCACTTGAAGGGGTCTCAAAAGTAGCAGTTAGAATCGCCATCTGTGTCCGGCTCTAACACACCAGGAAGCACTGCTGTGCGAGTTCCAAATGGAAACTTTATCTCATCACCCAAGAAAAATGTGCCACTGTTAATCTTATTTTTGTAGTGCTTTTTAATTGCAGAGAGCCCAACTGTTTAGATGGAATATCCCTTGCCAATAAAATTTCGTAACCAAACATTTTTTTAACAAGCCTGACTACTGAAGAAACGGATCAAACCCATTTCAGTTTTCCTGCTGCTGGATGTTGGTCTGGAAAGCCAATAGACTGATTAACTAAAACATATTTTTATTTATGTGGAGACACAAAAACAGTGCTGCTTATATAATTTTGTTTGTGAATTTTCTGCAGTGGCTGAGGAACCCCAGTCCCAAACAGGAGCGAAGGACTCTGCTGAGTGATACATTATGCTTCCTGTTCATCACACCACTGGCCGGCATATCAGGGTGGTTGTGCCTCCGTGGGGCAGCTGACCACCTAGAATCTGGCAACCGCAGTCAGCTCGAGGCCGCTGGGCTCATCGGACTCACCGTAGCTCTGCTTACTATTTACCTCTTCTGGACAGCAGTGAGTATTTTTTCTTCCAGCACCTAATTTTGATTATTTTCCTGTGGAAAACAACTCTTATTTGTGATTATCTCGGTGGACCACCTATGTAAAATATTTTATATTATGCAAGTTGTGGTTCAATTGTCACTTTTTATCCTTGTCTTGTTTTTTCAGAAAAGTACCATTTTAGTAAAACCATTACTAAACATAATTCATAAGTTTTTATGTATCTCGTTGGCAGACTGCAAGTTGCTACTGCTAGGCAAATGGCTCCATTTTCTTCTTCCTATTCCCAAGTTTTTCCTGTTGTGGCTTAACTTATTCAATTTGTCTATCTCTGCTGCTGCCTTCCTCTGCCTGTTTGGCCTTTTCTCAGTGTCCACTCCGTAATGGTGTCCATCTCTCAAGTTCTCCTGATGTGGCCTGCCCTTTCCATTTAAGACTGATCCCCTAGGGGAGTCTATTACACTTACCCTTTCGATAAATTTTTGACAAACATGTAGATTTTTATATGCCACTTGTTTCAATACATTAGCAGTTGTTTTTGTGAATCGTATAAACCTTAGCTCTTGATGTTGTTTTTAGGTTTCTGTACGCTATCACATACGACTGTACCAAGAGTGGAGGAAGACGCACCACCGAGTGAAATTGCTCACACCGCGACCCACTGGCCTGCCTGCCTGCCAGAACCCCTTGCTGGGCCCTCACCAGCCAAGCAAGCGGCTTTCTTCAGAGACTGTAGTCTGATAGGTATGTCAGGAAACTTTCAGAAATCTTTTTTTCAACTATCAACACACGGCGAACTTATGTTCCAACATTGACTGACCATTCTGAGGAAGTCCTGGAACTGCCAGGAATTCAAGTTGACAACATGTGATAACCATCTCCTGCAGCCTAAACATAGATTGGACTGTAATGTCATGTCATGCTGGGACAAGTACATTTGGGTCAGTGGTTGAAATAAAACATGTACTTGTGGTTTATCAGATAAAATAGTTAACAAGCTTGCGCATGTATAGCAACTAATAAGGGTATATGGTTTACTACTCTTTGGGTCTTTCGGTAAAGTCATGTAGAAAGAAAAATAATAAAAATCACATTTCAATCGCAACACAAGCAATCGTCTTCAGGTGTATTTTTTCACCTGAAGACGATTGCTTGTGTTGCAATCGAAACGTCGTGATTTTTTTTATTTTTTTCGTGACTTTACCAAAAAACCCAAGAGTGAATTCCTGCAGTCACGAAAGCTTTAAGTTAAGATTTATATGGTTTACTTTTAAATGTTACCAAAAGTAGCAGTTTAAGTTTTCCGTAATGACTGACAGTAATATTTAAGTTTATCATTTGAAATATAACAAGTCAAACTAAATTGTGGAATAAAATGCTCAATGTTGTCATTCATAAGCATATCAGACCGAAAATTTGAATTTTATAAAATATATAAACATATGCTTTTTTAAAAAGCCTTCAAATCGTTTTCCCTATATCATTGTGGCTCTACATAGAAGTACATAAAAATTATATTAACATTTTGGGAAGTACAGTAAATATGTAACTGCAAATGTATATTTTGTATTGCATTGTTTAGACTGCATTTATCATTTATCAACTTGTGATCTTTAACACTTGGCCAAGCAACTTTTTTTATGAACATTTTAAATATAACCAACATAAACCAGGAACAGCAGTTAACTATAAATTGAGCTTTTAAAGAATGCAAAAATACAGTAATCAAATAATCAATGTTTGATACAAAAAATCGTTTCAACATTGTATCAATGAGCATTAGCATTTGTACATTTTAAGTAAACATTGGCACTCGTAACGTTTTATAATCTTTTAATATTTGCAATGTTTGGAATTTATTAATTCTGTTGGACCAATGGGATAAACCTGCTTGCACATCAGCCCATTGATAAAAACGGTGAGTTCTGCATTGCAATAGTGAAATGAGTTAATATTCTATTAAATAGATTTGTCCAACTTCATTACATTTTAACAAATTAAAATTGCATAGAACAAAATGGCACTTATATGTTTACAGTAGCTGGAAATGTCAGCATCCCTAAGTATTTGTGACAGGGTTAAATATAAGTTAATAAGAGGGATTATTTGGATAAAGCCACTAAATTTGAGGTGGCTTGATCGCTCGGGTTAAGAGCACTGGGTTGGGCCCTGCTGGGTTTGAGGCAGCTACCTGTGATTAAACCGTGTTCAAGTGCAGAGTTCATGGTCTTAGTCCCAATCACTGCATAAGAAAGGATTAAAATGAAAGCTTGGTTTTGTACTTAATTTGGCTAAATTCCAACCTGAAAATAAAAATATTGGTTTGTCATGTGGTCAGAGTATCTTTGTAGCAGGGTATGTGAAAAATTGCTGCCCCCTAAAGGTCACTTAGAATAAATTCTGTAGTATCTCCTTTCGGACCAATCTCTTAACATTTAATTACGTTCTACAAGCGGTCTTAATATTTCTGATTAACAGAACTGGTTTAAGTCCAGAAAAAGAAAACAAATATAATGTACCAAGTTACTTTGTTTAGTTATGGGGAGATTGAAGACAAAATTAGGCATGATATTAAGCGAATTGACTGCTCAACGTCTGGGACAAGTGTTTTCCACTGGACCACGTGATTTAGGGAATGTTGCCTCCATTGATTATTGCTAATTTTTAGCAATCAAAAGTTATGAAATAACAAAATATCCATGTTTAAATCTATGCATGTTGTACATTAATGCAGATGCTAGTACATTGTGTAATACCTTATTAAAATACAATGAGAAACAATGTATTATACTCATAGCAGTTGTGGCAAGTTTAAATAAAAATCCGTAACTTTTTTTTGCAATTTTAAATATTGTCACATAAGTTGGAGTAAACTTTGCTTGTATTGTGTTTTGCCACTGCAAACTAAAATGATAATAAACTCTGCTGTGTGAATTTACCAAAATTGATTATGGCTTCGTTGGTGAAGTAAACGTTTAGCCTCCGGTATAAATCAAAAACAAAATCAAGATTCCATTACAAAAAATGTTTATTAGAAACATGCTTTAGAAAAGTTGACAACTCTCAAAGTCCACCCAATACTTTCTTGCTCCCTTTGGCATGCGTTCTTTATGAATGAACCACAGATACATGCTTATTTTTGACCTTGAAAAACTATTAAGCCATTAAAATACTGCAAGAAAAATATTCCAGAAAACACCAAGCTTAAAACACCCATAGTTTTGACTTTTCCAAAAGTACAAAACAAAACCACACATTGGTATGCTTGAAACACATTCTCAATACCTAAATAAAGGAATATAGCAACCTTTTTTTACAAAGCACCAGATCTAAACTTGTGCTCAAGGCAACTCCAGTAGGCTTGTTCAGCTGTGGTTGGTGATGGCTCAGTAGTTGTGTACAGCCAGATGCCCCTCCGACATTGCCATTTCCTCAATGTAGAGATACGCAATGTGTTTTATAATTAGCAAAGACTGGTAAAAAAAAATGCACGTTTTGAACCTTTCCACCATTCCCTTCACTCAATAGTAACAGCAAGTCTTAAAAGCCATTCCTCCCTTAATGTGTATCATCGAGGGAGGAAGGACATATATATGGTAATCAATATCCAGACCTTTGAAATACATTTTCATTAAAAGGTGATACATTTGTGAAAATGTAAACACTAAGAGCTATCAGTGTCTAAAACATTGCCCATTAATTTATCAGTGGCAATGGCATATAGTGGTCCATTCTTTTTTAACAAAAAACTAACTCAGGTAGTTGAAGAAATTGCTTGTACAAATCACATGCAAAATGTAAAAATTGGGCTCAGCCTGCTTTAAACACTTGTTTAAAGAGGGGACCATTAACGCATAAAAAACCCAGATTTACTTCTGTTGCAAGAGCAAAATCAAACACTCCAAGTGGTGTTTCCAGTGACATGTAAACTCCAATTCATGTTATTATTTGTGCAAAAAAATCTATAACAAAAATTTGTATCATTCAAAACATTGCTGTGCTGTAATAAAATGTGCACCCACATTAAGTGTAATATTCAGTGTACTTTTCTCACCTTTGGTAGTGTTTACAAATAATGGCTTTTTGAAAACTTAAAAGCAAAGCAACATATGCGATAAGTAAAAAAAATTGACCTTAAAGACAATTCAAAGGCAGTGTATATTGGAGGTCAGCTTTTTAACTAACGCCTCTGACGACCATATCACATGATTAGACACCTTTTCGAGGATGTGCTTTCCACCTGTAAAACAAAACATTTCCATTAGTTTCCCTTTGTATGGTATTTTAATACAGAATAACCATGGAGCATTGGCAGGTTTGTGCACATGCATTGCGTGGTGTCCAAATCTTATCCTAAACTTAAATGATTAATATTGAGAACTTGATTTGTTAATAGTTTAGTTAAATTGAGGTATGCATTCAGAGCTATTCTATAATTGGATATCAACACTTAAACATTTTTTAAATGCTAAAATATACGTATCGCTTCCTAACTTGCAGCCTGAATTCAAATGTTTGAAAGTAATATTCCTATATACATGTAATCTAAATTGAAGTCCAATCAATGGGAGATTATCCTATCCAACCACTATCGCCGCAATCAGTAGAAAGGTTGTTGCATGTTGATGCACCCAAATGAGCCTGGATAAAACTTTTGCAATCGGGCTCAAATGCAAGCCAGCAGTCATCAAATCACTAAGCGCATTAGTCACATGACCAGTGTCTGAGTTTGTGCAGATGTGTCTGTAAAGACAAAAATCCCCCATATAGCCTGTAACAGACTTGGGGCAAGGCCAGCACGGCACACGAGGGGGTGGGTGGCAAACACCACGCCCGGTCGCCTTTGTCTCCCTTGTGGCGATGTTTACACACCGCACCAAGTACTAATGAGGCCGAGTCGACCTAGGTGAGGCCCAGGACCATTTCAGATAATCGTCACTAGTGTTCGCCCTGAGCGGGAATCGAACCCGGGTGTGCAAGGTTTCGTAGCACAGCGCGCTAACTGCTACACTACCGCTCTTTGTATGTAAAGTGGAGGAGCGTCATGAACGATGCTACTGGGCAGTTGAAGGCAGTCACCCTCCAGGAATAACGGAGGGCATAAGAGTAACGCTCACTACGAGTGGAGTGCAGGGCGGCTAAATCAAAGCAAGTTGGCAGAGTGGGGAGCACAGTTGGTGCATTTACCAATCATCTCAGTCAACCCAAGGCACCTGGGTTTGGTCAGTGACCTAATGTGAGCCTAACACTTCACATGGCCTCAAAATGCACCTTGCCTGGCGCAAGTGCCGTAGTGACGTCACTGCCACGAGTGACAAAAAGTGGATGTATAGTGGGGAGTGGTGGCGCAGTGGTTAGCGCACTACACTGCAAAAAGATTCCCGTTCACAACCAACAATGGTGGATATTTGAACCGATCCTGGGCCTCCCCTAGGTCGACTCAGCCTTAAGTGAGTACCTGATGCGGTGTGTAAAGGCGGCCAGGTGGGGTGTTGGCCTACACTTCCACTCATGTGCCGTGTTGGCTTTCATAGATGCTCGCGAACAGCACTTGCTCCAACAGTTTGTTAAAAAGCTATACAGGGTACTTTTGTCTTTCTACATATGATTTATGAGTGCTTTTTGTATATTGTGTATTGTTGGGTGTGTGATCAATGTACATGTGTGCATGTTTGCATGTTTTATTTATGCGTGTGGTAGGTGTGGAAATGTGCAGGTATCTTTCTAATTTTCCTGACTCAGACCATCCTTTACAACAGTATTCCAGTTGATTGTAGTCCATCCTGTAGCATAATTCTTTACCTTGGGTGCAATCCAGTGAGTGCATCTCTATTAATATATATAAAATTGCATAGTATACCAAGACCGTAAAGCATTGTTTTTGGGGTACTGGAATGTTCTACATTTGATGTTATTTGTATAGTACGCAACCTTGTATTACTCAATCTACAAAATGACCAATGATGTAATAATGCATGGAATGTATTTTAGTCATTAACATTAGACTAGTCATGCATTTGAACGAATGTCTAAATGACCAGAGGAGAGTGATTTGTTTATGAATCAAGATATACTATATGTCTGCACACTATTTACAGCTCTGCTGCAAAAAGACTCGGGTCAGATTTTTGTAATTGTCCCACATAAGTGATGATTATTTAATATGCTGAACCAAGGCAACTAATATGGTTTAGATGTTAACTCTGCAATGCACCTCATTTATTTAAAAAAAAAATCATTTTTTTAAATTTGGTGAACCTAACATTTACAAGTGGATAGGATGCACACGTTACATATTATCCATGCAGTTTACACCTCATGAAATTGTACACATTTCAAACAGGAATGGATCATGCAGGGAACATTTCTCACATCACAACGCATGCACAAGATTGTCAACACTACCTTCTTTTGAAAGGAACCTGGCAAGGAACATTAATCAGCAAATGACGCAGCATTTTCTCCTCTTTGCCTGTGTATAATAAAAAGTTGCATGAAACGTGGAAATAAGACCAAAAACAGAGATAGAAGAAGTAATTAGAGCTGTGAAGGTAGAAGACGAAATGAAGAAAGAATGCAGAAGAAAAATGTACAGGCTGACATCAAGTGCATTTGTCAGACATCAGCAGTGAAGCTTTAGATGTCATATTTAATCAGCCACATATTTTACAAGCAGAAACAAAAAATAAGTATTCCATATGTAAATAATTTATGGAAGCGTTAGGTTCTGGAGATGCAAACCTGATATTGAAGAGGCTCTTCTCTTGTGTACTGCATCACTTCCTCATCGGGTTTATCTGCCACTTTACTAGATCGCACCACATTCCGCACAGCAACTTCCTAAGAAAGGTAAAGCACCAGTTCAGGGAAGGATTAAGATATTTTCACAAAAAACAGAGGTAAACCAACAAAAGAGCTGTAAAGTAATAAACAGTGCCACAGCCTTTATCGACAATTTTAACAATTTTCCGAACAATGTAGTGCAGGTGTGTTATTTCCCGTAAAAAAAAAAAAACATCAAATTGTATGTCTGCATGATGACTTCAGCTAGGCGCGCATCAATTAGTTTCCCCCGCATACCATTCATCCCCCTCCATAATGTATGTTTAAATTATTTCGAAGCATACATAGCCAACCGTACTAATTGGAGGTGCGGGAGAAGCGCAAACTAAACACAAAAAGCAGTTCTCAAGAAACGAGTTTTCAGTCTATATTTAAAAGTGCAAAGCTTCCTAATATCGGAAGAGCATTCCAGACGGCTGCAGAGGCACAGCTACGGTAAAGGTGCACGATGCAGTGACTATTTTTGTTCAATGGCCAACCAAAAGCCACTGCATGGATGACTGGAGTTTGTGTAATGGTTTATGCTCCTTGACAAGACTAGTGAATAATCAATTCATTATTCAATTAATTTGTCTAGTTTGTATTCTCATCTGTTCAGCACATTTGTAATTTCTTCATTGAATCGGCCTCAGATAATATTAACATATCAAATCAATGTTGTTCACCTCAACATTTGAAAAATAATTTCTCACGTGAACAATTTGATGGATGTATTGTAAGTAAAATAATTGATGTTAATTGATTAATCGATTCATTGTTGCATGTCTAATAGTAAACAACCTTCGATTAGCACGGTTGGCTATGTCCGGTGTGAAAGAAGTTTAACATACAACGGTGCCTGCAGTTTTTTGTCCCGAAGACAATTCCTTACCTCTCCGTCAGAGTTAAGAAGTGAGGTTCGAATGTCGTCTCCGGTACCCCAAGAACTTTGCGTTTTCCAAAGTAGGTCTGATGGTGGGTTGTGCGAGACCCCAGCATTGGCTGCCCAAATCTGACATGCAATTCATTCAAGCACAAGTTAAACATTTACATATAATCACGTAATCCTGTATAGTGCATGGAGGTAATGAGAAATAAACTTCGAACTATTGGCATATCCTAGAATCTACATTCATCCAGAATATAAATGTGAGCATTTTTTTTTCTTTTCTATTACTTGCAGGTAGGTGACTCCTGTTCTTTACAGATAAGTACAAATATGATTGAGTACTTCCAGATCAATTCCAGGTGAATCATTCACGAACATGTAAATTAAGAACTTTCCTCCACTTCTGGATATAATAGGATTTTCCACAGCTGTTTTCAGAAGCATTTACAAATAGGATAAGCGAATTACGTCACTAGTTAAATGTAACACTGACCGTCACAGTTTGTCCCGCTTTAAGAACATAACGAGAAGAAAACTTATAAGCAATCTCAGCTTGATCTTCAATTTGCCTCTTCAGCACCCAGCCTCCGAGTGGTTGATCCTGGACACCGTTTGAGGAATAAAAAAAAATTCAACACAAAAATAACATGAAAGAAGCAATTAAACAACTTTACTGCAATTAACTCCCATCACATCTTACATCTGGCAACGATCACCTCCACAACATGAATGTAAATTTGTCATGAGAAAGACACCACATCAATATGCCGAGTCCCACCTTTTCAGAGTTGTTAACCATCGTCACAGACTTCCCCTCCATGTCGACCTCTTTGATGCCAATGCTGCCGCTTGCCGAAGCATGCTGTGACACGCTTCGTTGGCTTTGCGCCATCGAATCCACGAAGCCCTCCAGCTGCACTCGCTTTCTCTTCCCTGGCATGGTTCGTATGCTATGGCTGGCAGATGTCGACGTCTGCACCACCGAGCTCTGGACCCCCTTTTCAGGAGATAGATTCAACCTGTAAACATAAGCATTTATCTTTCAAAGATTATTAAAGATAAGGCATGTATGAAATATACATAGAGTAATGAATGTAACAAAGATCAAATATAGTATAAATATTAAAATGTTTGTCATTGTAATGGTCTGCCAAAATAAGCTTTAAAAAACTGATAAGATACGAGACTAACTGCAAGCAGTGTTATTGTTCTTACAAAAATGTATTTCATTCAACCTTTACTCCAATTAAATGGCCAAACAGAATGACATGAGATGGGCTTATCTACAGGAGATTCGTATCAACACAAGTTAACCACCTGTATGCTAATTAACATAGTATACCCAATTTACTATTGCAAAAAAGCACAATATGTTCCAAAGCGATGGTCAGCATTATTACAATTGTTTTCTCAATGGCTCAGCTTCACTCAAAGCACATCACCTGGACTCCTCTCCCTCCAGAAGCTTGCGATAGGCAGCAATCTCCATGTCCAGGGCCAGCTTGATGTCAAGCAGCTGCTCATACTCGATGAGCTGCTCATCCATGACCTCCCGGAGCTCTGCCAACTCACGGTCACTCTCATCCAGACGACGTTTGCTTTGGTCGCGCTCGTGGCTCAGCGTCTCCTCAAGCTCCCGCACACGGCCTTGCAGCAATGCCAACTGCAGCGCAGCAAGCACAAAGCCACATTGTATTTGGAACGCAATAATTTCCTTGCCAAGCAATTATCCCAAAGGCCCCTTTGCTGTGGTGCCTCGAGATGTACTGCATGACAATCACAGCAGAGGCGTATCTCGCTAAATGAGCGAGATAGCTTCCGTGAAAATTGCTCGGCAAGTGAAAACTCGTTAAACGATCATCATTTTTTCATTGACTCCCAATTAAAAGCTAAGTTTCGTTTCAGCCCCAACATTGTCCACCCTTTAACAGCTGTTTGAACATTAGAAATACAAATTATAATTTTAAAACAAAGTAATAAACTATCAAATGTAAAACTTACGATATGTGAAGAACCAGTGCTTGCAGATGGCCCAACCTCAGCATCTGCAATTAATTATCGTCCCCCCCACCACCCCCCTCCCTCCCAAACCCATTAGACCCACCACAAATCCCCCCTCCCCCACGGCCAAACACGTGGGCACGCAGAACAGCACAACTGGTAAACAGCTGTAGCCTGCGTGCACCCCCTGCCGCCACGAGACGCATTTGATCACTGCATTCGACCATCTCCGCTCGCTAAGCAAACATGTTGCTTGTTTTGCAAACAATTTATCCGAAATTCAAATTGCTCGTTAGAGAAAACTATCGTCGATGGAACGCTCGTTAAGCGAGACATGCCTATTTAAATATTAAATGATACAGCTCCAGTTGCAATAATTGATTCTACACGTTCGATTAAAGGTATCGAGAAAAATAAACTATTTAAATCGATCAATTGTTGCATGATAAATTAAACACTTTAAGTTCAGATTTTACAAACATGTCTCATGACAGGGAAACATGGTCTGTCGTTAAGATGTGAAAATGGAGTGATGAGATCAGATTGTGTAGAGGAGCTTAAATGGATTGTTATACATAAAAATCACGAGAGATAGCGAGAGATTTGAAGCATCTCGAAGTGGCGAGATTATGGCTCTTGATGATACTTAGTGGTTAAAAGTTCAAACAGATTACCATAAACCTGCAGCTTTGTGGTATGTGGGAAAGCTCACATCGTGCTGGGCTGCAGAGAGTTGTGAAGACAGTGTGCCAACGCGGCTGGTCGCCTCTCGTAGATCTTCGCGAATACTGATATCCAGGCTTTGTTTTTCAGGGGTCAAAATGGATTTCTCCAACTGCATCCAACATTTGTACGTTTAGATGTTACCACTTACACAATAAACTGCATTAGACTTAATGGAACAAATACATGACTGCCTTTCTTAAATTTCCACTTGCATTTTTAGCGTTCGTACAAGTACGAAAGTAATTTCAATGTAATATTACTTAAGTTAAATGTAAAATACCTTTAAGCATTTAATACCTGTTCTGTCTGTACCTCATTGTTGTTCACAACTCTGATCTTACACTTCCTGCAGCTAACATCGACATCAGCCTTCCTCTCCTGCCAGTGATGAAGACACTCAAATTCCTCGTTTACTTTCAGCTGTCAGTGAGAATCACAGTTCACTATGACAATTGCCTCCTACATAATATTCAATGGTTCTTTCGGTAAAGTCACGTAGATAGAAGAAAAAATAACAATAAAATAATAAAAAATAAAGTGAATAAAAAATCACGTTTTGATCGCAACACAAGCGGTCGTCATCAGGAACAGGGAGGTTAGCCTCTGAGGGCAAGCTGTTTATAAAGGTTTAGAGATGGGCGGGGGCAGCTAATGTTAATGTAGAAGACTCCGACACTGACAGTAGGTCTACACCAATCAAAGCATTACACCTCACTTGACACACCCATACTGCTGACAGTGGTGGACAAGAAAACACAAATCAAGTCATGACCCAAAGTGGTTGATGACATCTTTCCAATGATTGCTGGGTTTAAAACCGTTGTCTCAGTTGAAATTGTGTCTGTATATCTGGATGGCATTGTTGATAGCCAGTCGGCTTGCAAAGTACCATTGTCTTAGAGAAATCAATTTCACGTGAGCCAGCCGCATTGAAATAATGATCAGCTACAGCAGAAGTATTGATCCAATACTTCTGCCGTAGACACAGACACAGTTTCAACCGAGACGACAGTTTTAAACTCAGCAATCATTGGAAAGATGTCATCAACCACTTTGGGTCATGACTTGATTTGTGTTTTCTTGTCCACCTCCACCGTCAGCAGTGTGGGTGTGTGGAGCGAGGTGCAATTCTTTGATTGGTGTAGACCTACTGACGGTGTCGGAGACCCCTTCTACATTAACATTAGCTGCCCCGCCCATCTCTAAACCTTTATAAACAGCTTGCCCTCAGAGGCTAACCTCCCTGTTCCTGATGATGACCGCTTGTGTTGCGATCGAAACGTCGTGATTTTTTATTCACTTTATTTTAATTTTTATTATTGTATTGTATTGTTATTATTTTTTCTATCTACGTGACTTTACCGAAAGAACCATAGAATATGAATTCCTGCAGTCACAAAAGTTAAGTAAAAAAAATCCTAAATATTAGTTAGTAAGATATTTAATACAGAACTATATTTTCCAAAGGTCAATTATAAATGCACATTTTGCATTGTTACTTGTTTTTGTACAATAATGCCAAGTTAAACTAGTTTATTCTATATAACATAATTTTTTAAAACTTGAAATACAACTCAGGTCTCATAAATCGGTTCTACAGTTGGACAGGATGCCAAGCTTTATCAAATATTTGGCCAGTTATGAAGAAAATGCAACATAAGTTGAACAAATATGCAGCACTTATGACATTTAGCCAAAAACAGAGATTCTATTTAGTGAACTGGCTACAACCTTTTTTGGCTTGGCAGGCCCTTGTTACACATACTGTATACATAAATACATTTTCCACATCAGAATTCGTGATAAACAAATTCACATTTTAGAAATAGAATGCACGAACATGTCTTGCTTTAGTTAAGAATGCATTACGAATGTGATATAAAATGCATGCTTCTATAAGATGCATACTATTCACGGGCTTAAAAAGTACAGCATTTTATTTAAAACCATTTTTACCATTCCTTTATTAGGTACACACTTGAGAACAACTGCTGACCATTTTTATCCGTACAAGTTCAACAAATGAGAACAGCTGTTGATACCTTGGCACGCATGGTTTGATCCAGTTCCTGACGGTACAGCTGTACCTGCTCTTCATGTTGCTGCCTAAGCTCAGTGAGCGCCTCTGACAGTTTATATTCAAACGCCTGCTGTTGACCGCCATCAATCTCCAACACATGGGTCTCTCTCTTGCTGCGTGACTCATGAATCTCCTGTTGATAAAAACAGGCGATAGGACTTCACTTTTCTAAAATCTAAAGTTGAGACACAAAATAATATTATACTGGTAGGAACCTCCTGGTTACACAAGCCCACAGGGGAGTATTGTGTCCGTCCGTCCTGCATCCAAAAATGGGAGGGGTGGGACTGGGTGGAGAGGGGAGGGTGGAGAGGGGCTGGGTGGGGGTGGGGAGGGGCTGGGTGGGGAGGGTGGGGCTGGGTGGGGAGGGGCTGGTCACCCCGTGGTGCCCTTATAAAACTCAACGTTCAACCTATTCACGCCGGCTTGTGCCCGCCCTCAGTCAGGCATATTTGCGGAGTACACCACGCCGCCGTTGACCCTGGCCATTGACCGAGCAACCCGACGTTCCTACCAGCTCCCTCCGCAGGAATGTGTTATAACTCATGTATATGTACTGTTAGTGTGAATGTTATTTAACAAGTGGAACATTTGTAATAAAATTAACAGCAAGTAATAAGTTATTATTGAAAACAAAATGACATCAGAAAATAAAAATACGACCCTTTACCAGAATTTCATGAGTGTTTCTCAATAGTAATTATCAACCACTATACGTTCACATGATTGCAAACTGGCAGTTAAAGTCATTATTTGTATGAAAATAAGGCTGCAACGTTGAAAGCATTTTATAAACCTGTTCATGAATGCGTTTTGTAAATTCCAGCTCCTCTTGAAGAGTCAGCATGCGGTTCTCCAAATCCACACGAGCCAAGGTCTCCTCCTCCAACTGTTGCTTGGATGACACTAGCACACCCTCCAACTGGTTGACCAAACACAATAAACCATAAACATCAACCATTATTAAGCATCAAGATACACTCACAACGTGATCCCTTTCACACATTTAATTAACCATTGTTGATGACAGTGGGCCATATATTGAAACAATTGCAATGATGCACTTTAATCAAAGTATTTGCAGGAAACATAAATGCCCATTACATCCTTTGGCTGCCGTCTAGAGAACATGGCACATTCAACATAATTGATATCGTGCAGTGAAATAAAATTTTTGAGCGGAAGCAGCAGCACAAATACTGTATTGTGGTTACACAAGGTGGGGTTGACATCACAGGGGATGGCTATTTACTTATAGGTTAAACGATGCATCTTCTTCTACAGAATCTGAAATTACATATTACCAATAAATCTAAATAATTTTCACGGAGCAAAAAGTTTGATGCTCAAGCTAGGAATGTGGTCTTCTCAATCAAATTCTACTGACATTGATGCTTTTTGGTAATATAGAGGGATGAATGTTTTAGAGGACGAATGATGAGTACATAAAGTAAATTGATTAAGAAAATTTTTAATTCACAATGTGTGGTAGATTATGGCTACAAGTACAAGCCACACCTTGCATCGTGCAGCCGATGATGCCAATGACGTCATCAGCCCTTCCCCATTACCTCCCGTCCAGGGTCATATATGGGATTTAAGGTGATAATTTTTCAACAACAATTTTCGTGTATTCTGATTAGACGAGTAACCGAACCAAAAATCGGTAGAATGATTAGTTACTTAAGTAACTTAAACCTACTTAAGTAAATGGATAGTGCAACTCTAAACTTAAACAGCATTGGAAGTTGTGAAAAAATATTTGAAATATAAAGACAAACATGAAAATATCTGTACCTTGTTTAACTGATTTCTAAGATCATCAACCTCAGTTTCTAAATATTCCTTATCCCCTGATGCTGTACTCAAAGAAGCTTCCTTTGCACAGAGTTGTACTTCCATGTCCCTAATACGGCCTAAGGCAACATTCCATTCTTGTTCATACTTGCTGCACCTGAAAAACAGCACAAAGGTATGACATTAAGTACTACACGTATATTTGGCTTGTATTTCTTCTCACCCACATTCAACCAAATTGAATCTTTAGAAACAACTCACGTTTCATAACCAAACATAGCTGTCATTTTACTTTTTCCCCAGTTGATATATGCATTTAAACTTGCAAAAAACATACACCAGTGTATATACAACTTAAACGTTTCTAACTGTGTTATATAATATTTGCTGGCAGCTGACGAGCATTCAATCAAGCAAGCCTGGACTGATGATGAGACACCATGTTGAAACCGGTCCAGTTTGCTTGTCTTGAATAAATAGAAGACCGTGCAGCTAATGGGTCGTGTAAGAAATAGCTTTATGTGGAGAGTCAGGTATATGAAGGAGATAGTCTGCTTATCTATTTTGTTTTATAATAGTGATATGGTAAAGTTCTGAAATGTTTATATTTTTTTAACACTTAATCTGAGCAGCAAAAGCTTTCAAAATCTTTAAATGCTGGGTATTAATCTTCACGTGTAGTGGAGGTTAACCATCAAAGCATATGTTGTATCTCATGGCTGTTAAAACTCTTTACATTCTTGTTGCTGTTGAAAACTCGGGGCTCCTTAGCAAATGCCAACATTCCCAAACACTATCTCGGGTTGTCATAACCGCATTTTTCTTTTAAATCCCGGCAAATAGATACGATTGCCAAAGTGGAAAGAGCGGTTTGCATTCTTCATCACATGGAGAGGTAGGCGTGGCCATAGCAGTTTGTACGACTGCAAGAGAAAAACACCTTTCCCCACAAAAATGTGTGTGGGTGTTTTTGTTACATTTTCTCATTGCAAGCTGTCGGTTTTGCTTCACTTGATGAGCCTAGTATAGCACAGCAGAATACATTTAATCACTTTTCTCCGCTTATATCACAGCTAATAGATACATTTTTTAAACAAAAATTTGTATTTGAATAGGAGATGAAACATAAGCATTGAGACACAGATTGAAACATGGTATCTTGTGCAAGGGCGACTTGGGTGACATGCACAATCTTGAGACTTAACGCTCAAAAAAAGCACTCGCTGAAAGTTGTATCCACAAAACTGCATCTCTCATTTAATTACCATTCAACAAAAATCACATAGTTGTATATTTTGCAGTATTTCCACTGCCAGCAGTTTCTCCTTGTGCTGATTTTCTGTACACAATAATAGGAATTAAAATGGGATTGGGAGATTGTCGATGTACCCTTCCGCTTTCATGAACATTTGTTTATGGGCGAGCGCAGTTATACAATTCAGACGTTATTAATTCCAGTTTGAAAGAACATTGCCAGGAAAAATTACGGCAGAGACATGCAATAAATAACGTTCACAAAACTAGACATACGCATTTACAACAGCGGAGGTGTTTGTTGAAATGCTTTCATTTATAGTCAAACTTGCATACAAGCTTAAATTATCCATTAGCCACATCCCAACTATAAGTCATAATCGCAACTTCAATCCATGTTCATAACTATGTTCATATAACCTCAAGTAAATAATTGCAATGTATCGATCACATTCAACTGTACAATTAGAGTTTTATATACCGTGATTATGGGCTTAACTAGTGCTCTAATAAAACTTGATGAAATTGTACTGTACTGAAGTACGTATTTGTTTATGCCTATACGATCTGCAGTATAATGTCTTTATATGAAAGACATTCGTGAGTAAATAAAGAAACGCTGCAGACTAGTCGCAAACAAAACACCACGGCAAACTTGCACACATTCGTAAGGCATTCGAAATATGAATGGCCAAGTGCGTTTGGATCACTTTTTCCACAACTCTGTCAAGCAAACCCAGCATCCAGTCCCCCAAAAGCCAGCCACCTGCTCAAACCCGTGCAATTATCCACAAAAACAAGAAACCCAGCTAACTTTTCACTCAAATCCCACTCATTATCCACAAAACTCACAACCCAAGCTACCGTTTCACTTAAACCAAACTCATTATCCACACAATCCAGTAACATTTAGTTTAAAACTCAGTTCATAAATCCAGAAACGCCTTTCCCCAAAATTCAGACGAACTTTTCCAGATTAAAACTTCTCTACCGTCTCATAAACTTCACAGCAAACACAAAAACAGTCACCATTAGCTACTATAACCTATGGTATTTTTTTGTATCACCAGGTAAGGCCCACTGAGCTGCATAGCTCTTTATAAGAAGTGACCTGGCCACAAATTATAGCTCAACGAAGTGGCTTATCTTGTAGAAATTTACAGCAGCCAAAATACACCCGCCACGTCACCACAACCGCATGTGCCAGGCCAGGTGCACTCCCGAGGCCACGTGAAGTTGTCGGAGACTCGCCGACAGGTCACGGGACAGATCCGAGGCTGCTAAGGCTTGACTGAGGGTGTGACTGGCAGCTTGCACCACCCGTGCCCCCTACTGCTCGCTGCGTTTAGCTGCGCAAACCCAACCACCTGAACCACCTGTATCACCTTCCCTTCCCCGCTCATAAAACCCAAACCACATCTTTTGCACCACACCCAAGCCACACATCCACCCACCCTGGTCCCATGCACTTTCTCCACCAAACCACGTTTCCACCACATGTCCACCCCGCCCCCGAGTTGCTCCGTTAAACCTCACCTGCTGCGGCCCTCGTCCCTCTCGACCTGCGCAAGGCGCAGCTGAATCTCGAGGGCCGCCTTGGCTCCCAAGGCGTCGTCCAGGGCGCGCCTCACCTCCGCCAGCTCGGCGTCGTAGGCGGCGCGGAGTCCCCCCGTCGCCTCCCGCTGCCGCTCGCTCTTCTGGCGCTGCTCTTCCTCCTCCTCCTCCCACATGGAGACGCGGGCGAGCAGCCGCGCCTTGTCCACCTCAAGGCTGCGGACGCGCTCGATGTAGGCGGCCAGCCTGTCGTTCAGCTCCACCAAGCTCTCCTTCTCCTGCAGCCGCGTCACCCGAGTCGGGCTCAGCAGCGATTTCATCTCGATTTTCTGCTGCTGCTGTTGATGTTCATTTCCCTCGTGATCTTGTTGTTGTTGTTGCTTCTGCTGCTGCTTCTTCGCCGGGGTGGCCATCGTCGCCATGGCGCGTTCCATGCGCGGGAAACTCGCGGGGCCTCGAGAGGAGGGGCGGAGCGAGGCGGTTGGGGGGTGGTCACGCGTTTCGCCATCAGCCAATCAGGACGTCTCCCGCCCTTTTTTATTTACATATGTACCTGCGCTAATTTAATTCGTGTTTTTTTAAATGTACAGTACGTTGAACTTCTTTCGCGACGTACTTAGACAACCGTGCTTAGGTGATAATATTAATACGCCGTATGTAGTTGCTGTATACCGTATATATAGATTCAATGTATGAGGCGCGGATGCATAACTACATTTACTGTTGAGTGTTGTGCATCTCCATATACGTAATAGGCGTTTCCGGCCAGTACTGCTATTAATCGCCTTTTTTTCTGCTGTATAAGGCCGCAATGTTGGAAAATGCCTTGGATTTGTAATAACTGCGATGTGCACGTTAAACTAGCAGTGGATTGAACATGTTTTGATGCTAACGATGGCCTGCGTACCGTGTCAACACGTGCGGTTTGACCCCTATTCTTGTTCCGGGAAATTCAGTCTTTCATGTCCATACGGCGCACAGCCGTTTCAATACGGGCAAAAATCAATGTTTTGTCTATCTGTTTGTGTTTCTCCCTTGTGATGGGACTTACGATGAACGTTCAGATGTATAAGGGGGCACGGGGTGACCAATAAGGTGTTAATTGGTCTGTAATAAGATAGGGCAAGGGGTTGACAGGTATGGCCCTGTGTATGTGTACAGGTCACCTGTACACGTCCTCGTTCCACTCGTGGGATGTTAACAACCTCGCCTGGTATGCAGGAGGCCCTGGGTTCAACCCTGACACCTGTATAGTTTGTAGCTTGCGGTCTCTCTCCCTGTGGTCGCGTGGATTTTTCTCCGGGTCCTTCGGTTTTTCTCCTTCCACATTTATAATCCTGAGCTGGTAAATGATCGTTTATATGATCGGACATTGACCATCGTCCCTTCCAGCGACGTGTACTTTCTCAAGTCCACTTCTCTTTAAGTTCTTCGATCGCTGTGTAATTGTACGTCCCTTACTGTCAATCCACTGTTGGATGAGTGTCTCCCCCAACAGAGGAGGTCAGCCTTGGGTTTTGTGACCAATCTCCCTACAACACGGGAAATGCTGGAAATGTATAAAATGACATACACCACGCACTGGTACAAAAAGAAAGTGCAAACTGCGATGAACATGCTGAAAAATAAGTGATTAAGTTCACTGCTATGCGGTTTATAATTGAAGACAAGAGCCGGGGATTCGAACGGTGTTAACATATTTTTTTTTAAAACAAGCAATACTAAAGGTTTCGTAACCTTCATTCAGTTGGCTTAATTCCATGGCAGCACCGATTAGAGTGGTTGGCTACGTACGGTTGCGAAAGAAGTTCAAGATACATACCAAAACGCTTAAAGAAGTACTGAATTTTGCTTAGAGGATCTATTTTTTTTTATATAAATGTATGTATAGAGGCAAGTTTGAAGGGACAGCCGTTGTCTTTTCCTGGTTTGCGTCGGGCTCTGTTTCTCTCTACACACTGCAACCTTTGCGACGGCATTTTCCCTACCCTGACCTTTCAGCAACATTTAACCGTGCATGTGTAATACGTACGGTGCGAAAGAAGTCCAACACACATACGGACCAATTGTCCTGTATTGTATTGCAGGGACTATTTAACGCCGCTCGAGATGAACCCAACTTATTGTCCTTTGTTCATGTCTGGAACAATTATAAAGGATGCCTTTCAAGGCTTCTTTACTAATTCAGGGTCTCATTATGTAACACAATTTAATATTCCATTGCAAACAACAGGAAGCTACACTACGTGAGCACATTTCTTTTGCAGACAGTTTTTTTTCCAACTAATTTTATTTCACATTTGTAGCGCTTAAATTGTATAAGCTTTACAGTATGTACTGTCCTTTCAATGCCAGTTTCAAACACAAATGACTTAGTTTAACACGTAGGCTTTGACGACCAAAATCATCCATAATAGAGGTTTTTGGGTTAGATCGCGGATCTAACCCAAAAACCTCTATTATGGACAAATGACTGTATTCAACATTCATATTCATGTTATATATTCGTTCAAGGATAAAATGAAACAACAAACCAACAATTTCCAATTAATTTAATAGCCTATACAGTATCCAATACTGTAATAAACTGGAGAAAAAAACCCATTCTGAAATCATAGCTGTAACGCAACACACCTGATCTAAATTCCTCGGAAGTCTTATATTTATTCTTGCTATGCACACGTGGGCAGCATTACACGCGGGGAGCAAACATCAAATCAACTCTGCAAGCAAAACAAAAAGCCACTCGTTCTGAAGCCAGTGCAGGTGGCGGAGTTGGGGGGGGGGGGGCACGTGGAGACGTTTCCACGCACTTCATCTCCACGCCTTGAGCAGAGTCTGGTGGCGAGAGAGCGGAGAGTGGAGGCTGGGTTCAAGGAGGGCAGAGCGCTCCATCGTGAGACAGAAAGGTGCCTCCACGTAGTAGCTCCCTTGCCCGTGGCAGAGTCTCTGGGCACGATCAAAGAAGAGGCTTTCTTCGTGAGGCCCCCAGTACAGACCTGCTCTCTTCGCATTCTGCGAACAACAGAGGTTGCACAAATCGCCCGACGATGCTGGATGTAATTTACCGGCGCAACGTGGTACTCACATTCTAAATGTTGTGGATTTACTCTCCGCACACACCGGTGGGCTGAAGTAGTAACTACTTGGCGCGTTTTGTTTACGTGACAAGCCTTGCTGGCTATGTTGGGTGGTGGAGGGTTACGACACATTTATACTAACGCGAACTAACCCAAAAACCTTTATTATGACCCTTAAGATTGTTGGGACAAGTGCTGTTAGCGAGCACCTTTGTTTCCCCAGTGGCGATGTTTACACACTGCGCCAGGTACTCATTTGAGGCTGAGTCGACCTAGGGGATGCCCAGGACCGGTTCCAATAATCGTCACCGGTGTTACCGCTCCCCACCAGAGGTGCACACACACGTTCATATGCTTGAGACTTTTTTGCCTCAATTGGCTCTCACATTGTGATTAATAAAGGTGTTAATACATACTTTCCGACCTTAATCCATGACCTTTCTGTGAATTATTGTTTGCTTTCTTCCTTTACCATAACCGTGATTTTCACCAAATGTTACCATGACGAAATTGCAGCCTTATCCATAATTATCCCGCTTTCAAAACTTTCTTTGAGCCTCTGGCATTCATGCGGAACTTTTCTCATGCTAAAGATGTCTTGGTCTGGCTCTATAAACCTTGGGTATGAACACTGAAACAAACGATATTAAAGATACCTTAATCAACTTTTGTCAAACTTTATGTATGGGCCAAACATTCCAAATTCAGGATTATCCTAATAAGGTATTGAGATGCAGTGAGGTTTTAAGGCACACTTAAATAAATAAATGGTCATCATACAGACAGTGTAAATATTATTTCTGGCTCTGTTTTACTATTTTGCATCATTTGGTATACGTATTCAGTTTCTATTATGTAACTTGCTCATTGCATATGTACAGTCCTGTAATATATATATAAACTGTAGAAAATGAACACGAAACAAAACATAAAAAGCGGTCAAATATAATCAAAATTTGCCTTGCATTGTAATGTAACAACGCCCCACGTGCCAACCTTTGTGACAACAGACGCAACTTATCCGGACACATTCTCTGCACCTCGAGGATGAGTGCCCGGTTCTTCATGTCCTGTTTCCACGGCATGACGTATCGCTGGGGCATGAGAGGGTGGCGACTTGTGAACTTGGGCGTGTGCATTTCCACAGAGCTTCGGAAGGAAATTCACAACACATGCACACAAAGGATTAACGACGAAGCCATACAATGCTGCACGTGAAACACTTACGTTTGCGGTGGAGCGGTGACGCAAAACCCTGGCAAAATCGTATTTCCTTTGTATTCCCACAGCCACGACTGGCATCAGTGGTGTGTGATTTCTGAACCGGCCCCGGATCCATCTTCCTTCAAACCGCACTGACCAGCGTGAAGTATTGCAAAAAAAACCCGATCTACTGAAACGGCACAGGGGAGGCCTTCATCCAGCAGTGGTTCAGTAAAGGGCTGTACATTATGAATAATGTGTATGACCTTCGGCTCGTGTGCCGGTGCTAGGTGAATTGTTAAATCACAGGATAGTGAGAGATGGCAAGGGCTTGAGGATGCCTTCATCCAAGCAGTGGATTGATGGCTACTGCTGGTGCTGATGGTGATGACTTTGCAAAAGCCAAACTCACATTGGCAGTGAATTGTAATAGGGCCGGCAGCTATCCACAAATCTGTCATCGCTCTACAAGACACTGGAGCCCTTCAGGTGAAATATTTATCGCCCGTGTCGACTGCTCCGTATCCGTGTGTCTGCGGGAGGGCACGGTCGGCATAGGGAAGTGATTTTCATCATTTATCATCCGTCTATCGCGTGACGCAATGTGCTCGTCAAATGTCAACCAATTATTAAGTGGTGATCTGCAGTGTTCTGTGTAACGGGTACATGGGGCAAATCCACATCAAACGTTTGTTAATCGTTCATCACTAGAAGCCACGCGTAGTTAATCTTGAGATTCATGCTTGAATACATACTTTACAGTGAGCTTTATCTTTAGGGTAAAGGTGCAGCCCGGCAATAGCTTTTGCTCGTGCCACTGGTAGCCGAAGAGCCTCCACTTGAGGGAGCTCTAGAGAGGATCTCTAGATAATGTATTTGTCCTATTCTTCCACACTAGTCAAGAATCTTGGAAGAGGTGAGAATACCTACAATTTACCCCACCACACGCGACCCGTTGATCGATTGTGGTGCAATAATTTATGCTGCTGAGTGGACAGAAGCGATGAGATTTAAGAAACTTGCCCATTATTTCAACTTCCGCGCCCGGAGATCGAACTGGAGGCATCTGGATTGCAAGTTACTGATACATGGGATAGTGCTAAATCAAACCTTTTCTTTTAAAGGACCATCACTATAAACAACAATCCGCAGTTAAATTCTTGTTTGGATTCACGCATGAATATAGCGTCTCTTTATAA